CCAATGTTCCAGTGACCTGTCCCGCGGATTATTAGAATTTCCACGGGATACATGTGCGCATTTGTGGCTTGTCCTACTATACCTAATACGCTCTCCAAAAATTTCCAGGGCTATTCACAATAAATCCCCGACATAACAACTGCGGCTTCCGTACAGCTTTCGGACCCGTTCAAGTAACGGACAGTCAACTCTGTGCCTTGACAACAACATGTTGTTTGCTGACTGCGTCGTATGGGAAGAGTTTACGGTTTTATATAAACAATGATGTGGCATTTTTACGCTACGTTTTATTAACGTACATAATTATTCTGGCCATTTTCATTTAGTGGGCTTTTTCTATTCGTCTGTGGGTTTGGACAATCACAACACACAGCGATTGTTACAAGCCGCTACATAAAAACAACTCTTTGTCAGCATACGATTTCATTTTTATTAATGCACGCAATGAATGGGTAGAACAAGTTTCTCTGTGCGCCATTCAAAAGTTCTATACGATAGTAGTGGAAATATATCGTTCCTCGTCGTGCATTACAAAAAAATTCAACAAGGAAAAGCGGTATTTAACCTGATAGTCTGACGTATAAAATGTGGTTTGACATAGTTCCAGCTTATAAAATTAATATGAATATAAAAGCTCCCGCGCTCTGCTGCGAAGTAAACAGGTTTACAAATGTGACCATGTTTGTCTTGAAGCGATAACGCTTCCGAATGCAAAGTAAGTTCGAAATGCCACTTTCGTAGTGCCCGTTTATTAAGTAAAAGATCAGTTATGCGTGACGTTCACACACTTATCCTGATTTTAAAATCAATTTCTATTTAGACAGTATGAATTAGACGCTAGATTAGTTAGAATTCGACGCTCATAGTTTGTGTATTCTTCCGAAGAATTTGTTAATCATCTCCATTGTTCCGAAAGATCACTTGTCACAGTGCCTCCAAGCAGGCGTTGCACGCAAACGGGAGCCAGCGCACACGCCAGACTGTCGAGTTAGGACATTTTCCTCTGGGGGTTTTGATGAATAGAGCAATTCAAGGGGCAGAAAGGTCGACCTAGCAGGCAGATAAATTCCAGATAAATGGATGAGTAATACAGAGAGAGAGAGAGAGAGAGAGAGAGAGAGATATCAGAAGGGTCAGCAAGAAATACTGTCAGATGCTCCTGTTCACTCTTGAAAGGTCTGATTCTGCCCATTTTTTGATGGACTGCTCTTGACGTCGCTTTCTTTCGAATTGTTCATTCTAGCAGAAACGCCATGACTAGAAAAAAGAACATGATAGACTACTTTTCTTTTTTTTGCATATTATAGTGTTATTTTGTACCACCACTGCCAGAGTTAGCGCAGAATATGCCATTGTCCTACAGCATAAATAAACAGAATTTGGAGCTTGGGAATGTTGACGGCAAAACCAACTGTACATGCAAACTACTCCCACACTAATCATCAAGCCCATTAGCTTAACGAAGTGAAAATAGAAGCGGTGCAGTATATATCTTCCGTCGTTTGCTGTTCTTATAGTTATTAACTCATAATGTGTATTTCCTTTTGTCATGCTATCTTTTCAGGACCATCCTTTTCGGTAAAATAATTTTTCTGTATATTCATGCTTGTATATTTAGGGGCCTTCTGCTGGATAACCTTTGCATGAGAAAACGATAGGCTGTTAAACTAATCGAGTAGGTGAAACAATAGGACAGATATCGTAATAAGAGCGTTCGAATATCCTTTTATTTATTTAAGGCGATTTAATGACTGGGAATTTAGCCGCCATACGTTTCGCTGAGATGATCATAGGCAACAATGTAAGCTCGTTGTGAAGCTCTAGTTTATGATGATAATTTTTAAGCCAAAAGGACAGAGCCGTTTGTCGAAAACTTATTCTATCAGCCAATGGCTAAGGCTTTAACACCTAATCGCATCCAATCTAGCATCTATTTATTATTTAATGCTTTATCTTCGACTACTGCTATCAGCCGTGCTGCGTACATATAGCGTGCTCGTGTTTCGTGCAGTGGCGCCCTTCACAGCTCAGTATGCCAATAATCTCGCATCCTTGTTGCCACCCCTCCCATTGTTGTAACGGATAAATGCCGCCACAATCTTCCGATTATTCTGGCGCTTCGCACTTCCGTCCAGCGTCATAGTACGTCACCGGCACCTCCTTTCAAAGTCCTTATAATCCGAATCTGGAAACACCGTACGGTGTATGGCTGAATGCTCCTCGTAAGGGACACATTTGGTCTCCTTGTTCACCCGACCTAATACCGCTTTCCCACCGTTTGTTCCAACGCCCGCGACCGGGTGGACCAACCCACTTAGTGCTGTTACCGATACTAACAGTTGTTCCGCGGGCAATCTGCATTCGCGGCTATCTGACCGATGATTTCATTCAGGACCTCGTTTTCGGACATTTGGCTGTCACTAGGTCTCGCGATTCGCTCCTCTCCACTATTTTCATCGCGTTCGAACTATCAACCGTTCGTTTTTTAAATTTTCGCACGTAACAATGTCTTGTCGAAAGGTGTTAACCGTTTTTTAACTAGATGGCGTTAAGGTCACATGTCTCAATTAATATGAGTCAGGTCGCGCGTTCGTGTTATTTCAGTGCAGAAATTGGGCTGTTGTAACCAAGCTACAGCCATTGGAATGCTCTTATCTCAACGTGAAATAGGGCGCTTTGCAGATGGGTGAACTTTCTGAAAAAATTCATGATATTTTACAATATTGTCACGGTAAAAGCACAAATGCTCATCATTTCCAACAGAATTGTATTGTTCCCAATATATGCTATCCAAAGAAACGGCAAACAATAGCTATGCCGCTTTCACTCTCGTTGTGCTCGACTAACTGTGGAAAACTTATTGAGATTATTACGTAAGTTAATAAGACCGATACTAGACTAGCCACGATATAGCCAATAAACTAAACGCCTATCGCTGAACAATTTCTGACAACTTACAAGAAAGCTGGCTAGAAAAAAGTTCAGAGATGGCACACAAATTAGCGCAAAAGAACTTACTTAGTCGTATTTCCATTTGGAAAACCTTCTAAAAAGGCTACAAAATCGAGCCATTTTTAAGCCGTGAGTGACCGAAACGTGAATCACGTATGACGTTCAAGTCTAAGTAAAGAACATATGCTCCACAAGCCGTGATATAGCCCAGACCGACACCATAAAAGGTGATGCTATGTGTCCGTTGGAGTTGAAGAAGAACTGTGTATAGTAAACTACTGCTGCCGCCTGGCAAAACGATTGATTTGGATCTGAATTCCCAACAACAAACAAGGTTACAACGAGCCATTGAATAATTGATCAGGATCGGTGAGCAAAACAGACGTCGTTCTTCACGATAAAAATGCCCGAGCACATACATCTTTAGTCAACAGGCAAAAACTGGATGAAAAACTTTAGTGCATCCGCCGTACAGGCCGGATCTTGCACCATCAGACTATTATCATCTGTTGCGGTCTTTGTTCTATTAAACCACTACTATTACTAATTAAATTCTAATAAATTCATCACTAATCATCATTTTTCATTTAGAAACCACAAAAAATTGACTTAGTAAAATTAATTTCAAATATAAAAAATATTTGCTTCAATTTTCGCTCAAAAACGGCACTCAAATACTTTTTGAGGCCGTTCAATACACACTGTTTACGTGCTTCATGTATATATACAGGCGATACAATCCGATGAGCAAATTCGCAGGAATTTACTTACTTACTGACCTATTATAGCACATTAGGTTGACAGAGATCCGAATTTTATGCTTGTAGATATATATATATATATATATATAGAAAAAAAAGCAAGCATCAATGAAACACAAAATACAGCGTCGGCTGGTATAGTGGCGCGTTGTTATCCTGAGCTAATCACGATGACAATGAGCTGATGGGAAGTGGAAGATGGGAACAGTCTTTTGCTGCGGTCGAAATAAGAGTCGTTACCTTCGGACTGCGTAGGATTTAGCCCATCGACGTAGGGCAGGCATTGTCTGCCAACACGAAAGCTTGACATATACGCAGTTATAAAACAACCATTAGGACTTACCAGAAGATTTAATTTGTCAACGGTCTTCTGCGCTTACGGAAGTATCCAATTAATGAGTTTGACTAATGATAGTAATTACCAAAATAACCTCAAGGCTCAACAAAATGAAGTGCATTTGTACTTGTCTAACGTACCACAAAATACCGCTTGAGATTACGAAAAACATACAATATTCTTATAGATTAATAAGATACATCTGCCGAAGTGTGTTTTAGGCTATTTCCGACAGAGATCCGTATTTCAATTGGCTGTAAGCCAACCTGGAACTAGCTTCATCGCAGTATCGCGTAATACATCAATGTTCAGACACGATCACTCTATTATGCCCAATGCATTCTACTTTGGCTTAACACTCCGTTATGAGCAAATAGAAGCGTCGGAAACCTACGTGTTTGCCAATACGCATATCACGAATAACAATCACGTATTTTACATTGCATAGTGATGCCGACAACTCTATCGGCCATTACACACAGGATGGCATGAAAAATCCCAGGATAACAAACACAGCCACTGGTTTATTATTTTACTTTTGCTTGCAAGAAGGTCGAAGTTTACCGTGAGATCAGGTTGTAGTATACGGCTAAGCGACATTATTTGCTTGACTACCATGTCAACTATGTATATATAATAATAGTTTCCGACTTTCAGTCATCTCCCTAAAGCCATCTTGCCGGCGTCTGTGACCTTTCATCTCAAGTACATTGGCATTCCCAGAAAGACATGACATTGGCTTTATTCGGAGTTATGTTCAAGCAAAAACTAAAACAATGGAACTCAATCCGATGTCATCTTTCGTATACATGCATCTATAGATTTCAAGATGTTTTTTTTTTTCAGTTTTGTGCAATATCTGCCTGGGTAAGCTATGTGTTCGCTTGTGAGACTAATAACACTGACGTTATCATTGCTTTCCTGCCGTTTGCTGTACTCTCGTTTCTCAGTCATTGACGACGTGTCGCCAGCTATTCGACTTCCTCGGATATATGTGGGCTCCGATCTTAGCCAATTTCTTTAATTTTCTCTTCGTTATCCTCGGTCTCTTCGGCGTTTACCAGTATCGGCCCCGATACGTCTTCACGGTAAGTATCTGAAGAGCACTCTCAGCCTGTATGGGCGATAATACGATGGCTTGCAGATATTCTTCGATGTAGTAAAACACATCGACATACAGATCTCGGTAGTATTATTTAAAGGTGGATATTATGTGAAACGTATTCCGCCTGCCGTTTGCCGTTTACGTTACCTTACGTTCGGTCCGAGCTATAATCAAGCGATTTCCTGTTTGTTATAGCCTAGCAGCAATATTAGAGGCTACAATTATTGCTCCGCTCGTTGTTGACTCTGTGATTTGGTTCCTGTTCTCTTTAAATAAGTGAGATCTAGTTAGCGATATACTGTAGCTAGGATCGTGAAATATGCCTTACGAGCCGACGTTCAAATATGACTGGGGGTAGAGTGCAAAACGTTTGCGAACCGTGGAGGGTTGTATAGGACTCTTTTGTGTACGTCCGTTAGGGAGGAACGTTGTATACACTAAGTTCTCGGTAAAACGGCTGTGTAAAATAATTTGCTCGGCTCGTGCACCGGATGGTAGCGCATGCTTTTTTCGGTCGTAACAGAGAGCTTTTAGTAGCGAGCAGTTGAAAAAGCAAGACTTTTATTTCCAGTGATTAATCAAGCGAGTGTGTTGCTTATGTGCAAGCCTTGTATCTATCTACTATCTCCAACCAGCAAGCATATCATACTTAGTTGGGGCACAAGTTGGGGCGTAAGACGACGCAGTGTGTTCAATAGGGTTTGTTCAACTTAATGCTGGTGTAAAATGCTGATACTTTTTATTTCAGTATGCTTTGTGGATGGTAGCGTGGATTATGTGGAACGCATTCTGTATATGCTTTTACCTCGAAGTAGGATTCCTAAATCGGGTAAGTGAACATTCGATTGTTTAAAGATTGTGCCTAAGATGATGGAACATGAGAAAACTCACATTAATCCAAGCAGTCTCGAGTAAAACACGTATCATTGTCGTTGAACGGTGACGAGTGTATAAGAAATGTCGATTCGACCAACGTTTGCTTATGGGTATCACCAATCAGCCTTTGTTACATATACACCCTTTTGATTTGTTTACTGCATAGGAAATGCTTGTTATACTCTAGGGCTCAACTTTCATGTCCGGTATCACCGTTGGGCGTTCCATCAGACGGCTGGCTCGCAGCGTAAAACGAGTCAAGTGTCTCTGCCTGGGCTCGAACCTGACATTATCAGGCAAATACGTTACCCACTAAAATATCCTAATCATAAGTTTTTTTTCATAGAACTATTTGCAATCGGAGTGGAGCCGAATATTATCTTAACTTGAATCATTGTCATGTTTAACCCGAGTACATTTCATACCCGTAAGCCCAATGGGTCTGATTGCTATTAGTCAGCATTGCGCTCATTCTCAGTCTCACCGCGTCAATGTAAGTCAGTAAAAAATCATTACTGGCCTAACACAATTCGCAAAATTGAATAAAGAATAGGAAACAGATATCTGCTAAATGGAGAATGTTCCATACGAGCATGAGCGAACATTGTCACAATGACCTATTATAATACGATGCCCAAACGATGCTATATGACAGCACCTGTATATACTGCATGCTTAGTTATGATAACCTGGACTATTTAAAAAAAAAGCTAAGATGTCGATATAAAAAATAGGCATACTGATAGTTTGTCAGTATCCGCAAGTTAATCTTTTGTACTTATCTCTAAAAAACGTCGTCGCTTCAGCAGGAAGCGATTAACGTTTGACTGACAGCGGTAACAAACAACGTCCAAACCTGTTTATTCCGATCGGCTTTTTTTTTTCACGTTGTTACGAGGCAAGTAGGAGTTTTACATCAAAAAGTAGGTTCAAATCATCTTTCATTCGGGTTCTACAAGGTGTCATATCAAGGGATCTCATTCGACTGCCTTTGTCCTATCTTACCCCCCCCCCCCCCCTGAATTAGCGATTGTGGCTGGTAGGTAGGTAGGTAGGTACGTTTGTCAAGTTAGACGATAACTTAACTGATTATCGCTGTCCTTCTTAAGCGTGCGCTGCGCTTAGTTTTAAGAAGAAAGTCATTTTCGGCTACACGGGATCTTCGAAATTTGGAGTGGAATTGATATTGCTTTTTCATAAGCTGTATCTATTATCAATAACTCTATATAAAAAGAACGTGGATGCATTTTTTTTTCTGTTCTCCTTTTGTAACCAATTCGCTCATGAGATGCCTATTAACTGCCATTCGCTCAGATCGTCACTTCCACCGGAACTACGAAATACTTACAAATCGCAAGAATCTTTTTACTGTAATCGTTAATTCAATGTCGCTTCGTCGACAGATGTCTTGTTAAGATCCCCTTCAAGCACGCCACCAACAGATAATCCCAGTGAATCTTAATTTGAACAAAGCAGAGAAAATTCAAGAAGGCATAGATGTTAGAAAAATGCTGATTGCCCATTGATGTTATGATCAGCAACGACATGGGCACCTTATAGGCTTATAATAGTTAGGTCTATTGTTATTCATTGATAGGCAAAACCTTGGATATCCTTTTCTACCTTTCGAAAACGACTTTTCTGTGTTGGTCATAATAAGCCCAAGAAAAACTGGCTTTCTTTCAATATCGAGAACAGCGGATCGACGCACATACGCTAAAACAAAGAACCTCCAACAAATATTCTAATTTACCCCATATTAATGCAGTTGGACAGTTTGAAGTCTAAAGATGACGATGACACGAGCTCCCTTTCACAAATTGCATTGCGTCTCGGTGTTTTAGTCGATAGGACCCGAATGCTTGAGACCGCTGCAGTTTTGGGTGTAGCCTTATCAGTACAAGCTGTTACTGCTAATAGTCGAAAGAGCTCGTCTTAGCCCACTTTTATGTAAAAGATATCAAGTTGTCCATGCAAGCTTGTTTCGATGCTAGCACGAGATGCAGGATAAGCTTAGAACACTTACCAGGAGGTAATGATGGTGTATTGCCAGTACTGATAGTGATAATTGTAATACAAGAATCTGCCCGTTTCGCAATACAGCAAGTCCAAATGTTTGTCACCAACAAATACAAGTTTCCTTAGATGGAAATCAAATAGATCACTTTGATGAACTCCATGGGGAATCCATCGAGGCATTATTAGGACAAATTATATTACCAGTTTTTTTATTATCCATAGTCAGATTTTGTTATCTTCATGGGACAGATGTGCTTCGGCAACAGCCTGAACCTTCTTAGCCCATATAGCTTCGAATTGCTTTGCGTTACTATAATAAAATGAATAAAAACCGACCTATGGTCGCGTGTACTAGATTTATTTGTATATCCTCGAAAAATTAACAAAAATAATGTACTAAATTGTTGTAGGAGGTAAAGTGCGCCTATATATTGTAAATGCGATGTATGCGCTATATATTGCCAATGCTATATAATCATATATACGCTTTCGGCCTGTGTTGTTCTATATCAGAGGCGCGAGTGCTTTTTTTTGTTGTTACCTGGAGGGCACATAAAAGCGTGCAGAGTCACAGAGCGATCGATGCACGTTAAGCGATGCCAGCTTCTCACTCAGCTCATAGCGCTATTATTTTTTACGCGGTCGGTAAAGGCTTTCTTGAACGTCCGAACGACAATAGAAGAAAAGAGCTGGTCCCTGCGCGTTTCGATTTTTGGTTAGAAAAGATTGAGGAAAACGTTTTGATGAAAGGCTATTGGTCTTTCACTTATATCGGGAACGTTCGAGCGGAAATATTATGCACGAACAGGACGTTAGTCAATATAAAAAACAATGAAACCAATCGTAAAACTCACATTATTCGTTCCACATCATCCTATTCATTAACATTTTCTATTTTTTCTACTTAATGGACTAGTCGTGTGGTGACAGATACTAAATGGGGTAGTTACAACGCACTCTGCCTTTATCTACGTTCTGTATTTCTAAGAAGGTACATGCGAGGAGCAGTATTAGTTGCTCGTCTAAGAAGTTTAAACCCTTCCGCGGTGGAACGTTCGTCTAATAAGAAGATTATTTTTGGACAAACAAACGCGTATCGTTCTGGTGTTTTGTAATAAATCACCTGATAGATTTTTCTTATCACCTAATAGAATGATGCCACGATTGACATTACACATACCAGTTGAAATTAGGTACGTGTCAGCTAGCAGCAACTGGATTAATCCCAAAATTTGCTCTAAAAAGATTGTCAAAATTCGTCAAAAAAAAAGTGACAAAATTAGCTTTTATCATCTTATTTATGGTATAGGTGCCGAAGACCCTGCATTCGCTGACGGATGTAAATCTTCATTTTGCAACGTATACAAGCCTTATTGATGCTCAATAAATACGTTTAGTGGTTGAGAACTAAATTTTGTAAGTTGTCATTGGATTAATCCTTCCTAGTGTGTGAAATTTGTGGATTCAAGCATCTAACGAATGGCATATGGAGCATTCGGTCTTCAAAGTTTTCAGTAAAAGCAAAATAACTTATAGTACGCTTTTTTAAAATGTTTTTTCGTGCGGACTATAAGCAACGTCTTCATTGATATATTTTTGCGCAGGGTGTTAGCACCGAGAGTTAGCTCATACCCGTCAAGAATTAAGCGTACTTAGAAAAGTTGCATTGATCTTTTGAGGCAAATATTAAACGTATATTTACTTCTCGAACGTCGTTAACCGACGCGGGTTATGCGAAGCTTAGAATGTTTGCACTGTTTACCTTATCTACGTGACATGGTCTGTGGCCTAGGACAATACAGTGTTGACGTATTTTTCGGTTCACGCCAGGCCTTTCGAAACAGTGGACAAGACAAACCTAAAATTGCTTTCGGGGAAGGAAAGGAGGGTGATGTGGTAAGCAAAAGATGATAGAGATGCACACACTCTGGCGTCCTTGCATCCTTGGATGCCTCTGAGAAGAGACGCCCCTTTAACAACTGGTGAAGGAGTTTGTGCGAATGAATTGGTGCATCAGTAACAAAGCAGAAAAAATTATTAAAGAAAGAGTAACGGAATACGTGAAGTGCGATTAAAAGCGTCGCATGGAAGGGGGATGGAACGACAGGCTAAAACAGAAAAAAATCGGACTCCTAAAGATCGTTACCTAGGTGGACCTGATAGAAAGTCATTTAAAATTTTAAATTATCATTACGTTTCTTGAGCAAAAGCTTTATTAACTCTACTTTCTTTATGTCGTTACTCGATATTCGTGATCTTTGATTCTTTTTCCATGCTAGACAGCAGAGAAGCAAATCTATCTATAATTAGGATAGTCTAGCTTATTGCTATTCCCTATATCAGTATTTATAACTAAAACTATTAAGTCATGTATTACTTTTTTTTTTTTTTTTTGTTTTCGATGTAACTTGTCCCACAGGAGCTGAACTATTTAAATCTAGGTACTGGTTCTCGGTCATGGTTTGAAATAAACGGGTTGGGCTGTAAAGCTATGTTTGAAGCGAATACCCCGGATGAATTGGCAGGTTTCACTAAACCAGCCTCCGTCGATGGGTGTCTCGTTGAGTACTATTATGTGGAAAGCGCACAAGCTGCCATTCAGGTACGTTTCAACTGTGGGCAATACGCTTCCCCATTATGATAAGAATTACTATAAAAATTATATTTATCGTTTAGCAGCCGATATTGGACCTCTAGTAGAAATGTTTGTACGTCAACTGAATGCATAAATACCAAAAACGAACCTGATGAATACTTGGGTAAAATACAACCTCTGGCCTTTATCGACCTTTAGTGAAGTAACGCGATCGAAAACAAATTCAGATAAGTAGTGCTAGGCCACAGCGAATCGTGACAAAGACCGCTATCGGAACCCGCAAGCTCTAGCATAGCGTCTTCAAAATGATCAGGTTCTTCATAGTAAGACAGTAATGTAAATAATGTTGACTGTTTAGTTTAACAAGGCAAAGACTCACGGAACAGCGGTAGATTGATAAATTTATAGCTAATAACGATTGTTCTGATAGTAAGTTCTTACTCCTTCGTTTGTTTTAGATGTTTTTGGGTCTTCTTGCGATTATTGGCGGATCCTTTGTCATCTACAATTATACCCAGGAGGATCCATCGTGTAAGTGCATTTATCATTTTTTTTTTCATTCAAAATGTAAATTTAAGATAAATAACCACATAAAACTGATTAATTAAGCGTTAAGGTACTGGTAAGAATAAACAAACGATAAGGTATTTTCTGAATTGATTATTATATTTGCAGAAATAGCCATAAATCAGGTTCACTATGCGTATGATTAAAAAAAAGGAGCGAACGGCGTGCCTTTTAGTACAGTGCCCTCAGCGCACGTTCCCACTATCTAGATACAGCTCACTTTAAGTACCATCAAAAACTTTAAAATATTCTTGGAAAAGCTAATAAATCAAAGTGCCAGAAACGTAAACACACACGTACTTCAACCGAGAATCTTGAAGGCGTAGAAGGCATTATATATAACTAGTTTCTAGCACCGTTTACCATCATGGCAACGTTCAGCGACCATTGCGCCCTACCACATGACTGTATTTCGAACGCTGAGAGCGAATAGTCGGCCATCACTCTGCAGTCTGGCATCTACTTCTTTCTTGGTCCTTTGCCCAGACGAGGAGCTTGGCGCACTAGCCGGCTCTACAGCAGCTGCATAAGTGTGGCACGAAGCTTTCAGGACAACGTCACGTCAAACGTTATATTAAGCGGGTGCAGTTCTGCTTGTCGATGATGTAAACGAATCTGCACGCTCTATGATATGATTAGCTTGGATTGTGGGTGACTTCATAGTTATTTATTTTTATAGCCCTGTCGAGTTGCGAGAATAAAGTCTGATCTGTATAGTCTGACGAGTGAAATTCTCTTGCCAACGGTTTTAGTTGTGGTAACGGTATGGGCTGTTCTGGGAGTTACGTTTGCTGCGTGATTCAGATCTCAGCCGCTGGGCTGAGTTCAGCCAGACTACGAGAAAATAACAATCGAGCATCCTTTGACAATTCAAAACTCCTAGTGCTAATACTCGAAACCCAGAAAAGTGTTTTTGTACTCCACATGATTGGGAAGCCTTAATAGGTATCAGAAGGTGTGCACATCGAAACTTACATAGGCACATCAAAGCCTAATTGTCGCCCGCAATTAATTGACGCAATAGAGTAATAGTAACTAATTTCAAAACGCTAAAAAAGAGTACAACAACATATTTCCTTTTCAGCCAACTTTAATACCGTTTATTAAGTCTATTTAGTTTACACAAGGAGATTCTTTTGATTGATCTAGAGTTTTTTTTTAATGACGCCGGAAATCGATGGTCTGCGACAGTGAGCCTCTGTAGATATGCACACCTGTACGATGAACATTTCATATATCTTGCTTAAACCAATATGGAGGCTGGAGAGAGTCAGCTCACGTAGCACCTTTGAGAGCTGCCTGTTTTCGTCCAACCTTCTTTGTACACGTATAAAATCAAGAATACGTTATATGTGCTCAATGAAGTGCTCGTATGAATCTACTCCGAGTATTGTAACAGAGTTTTGCCATTACCGTACGGCCACATCATATCAGTGATAGGCTTCTCTATGCTAATAGAAACACCGATTTGTGTAATTTAACGCTGCGGATATTCCATCTGGATTCGGAAACTACCGTGTGTTAGTCGACTTCATCGGAGGCTTCGATTCATACAACGTATATATTACACCTCCACCAAAAACTCCTCATACGCTACAGTAAGATTTGATTACCTAGCTGATTCAGGCCAAATTTTCACCAGATTAGGTACTGCACGAAGGTAACGCGCAAATTGATCGTAATAAACAACATCGTTAACGACAGTCGCAGTCTCTTCTTATCGCCTTTACTGCCACCCTTCATGTTAAGTTTGATCTGCGACAACTTTCGCATTTGAAGTAAGACGTTTCAGCTTCATCAATTTAAATAATATAGCCCTTTTGCCGTCGTCATATTAGATCAGTATTTTGCATCGTACATCTTAAGCTGGTCTTCGTGTTTTGAAAGAACCGCTGCTGTTATAATGATGATCGGGAATGGCGTACAATCGGTGCATGTTTCTAATATTTGTCATACGATTCCTCCAAAGAAATAACTAAATTGAATGTTTTGAGTTGTTCGTCCGCTGTAGATTGCTTCAAATGGCTGGCTCTCAGGGCGAAACGAAGCGCGCCTTCTAACCTAGGCCACCACCGTGTTCGGAGAAAGAAGGCTGGTCGGCTTTAGGCGAACTTGTTTTTACATTGTCCTGAACTAGATGTTGTGATAGTGTGCGATAATATAGTATGCTTGCACATTTATTGTTTCCAGCCCGATTTTTCTATAGTGATTTACGAATGCCTGCTATGTACTAAAAGCCCATTTACTGATTAATTATTTAGTAGCGTTCCAAAGAAGACGAATTGTATCTTTCGACATCTATTGTTAAGAACGACCTGCGTACAATTACCCATATTGTGTAACCTGTTGCGATGCATATTAAACGCTCGTAACTTCAGAGTATTGTCAAAACCTGGACGATACTAAGTTGAGGCGAGACTGTCGTCACTGTTCAGGGTATTGAACGTTTTTTTTTTTAATTTTTTTCACGTATTTTCTTGGAAGGAAAGATAATGGACCTTATTGTTTTCACTTGTATGGATAGAGAATGTATTCTCGGGCGATTATGGTCCATTTGATGCCGGTATTGTTTGTACGATGGGTCAATGTGTTTAGAAGCTGACAGCCAACTCTGTTGATGGGGAGTTGTAGCGCTTCTTTTTTCTGCTTGTCTTTGTATCGATAGCCGCTGACACCTGCTCGTTCTTAAACAAACGGAGAAACGCCCTGAATACGAAGGATCAAAAAGTGCTTTCCTTATTCCCTTTCGTTTTGTACCTCTTCCTGTCCTACCCCCTGACTTGCGCAACTTCCTCGTCGTCGTCAACGTTGTATGCGACGTAATTTTTACTCACTCGGTTCGACATATTTTTAGACTGAACACTGCGACGCTAACGATGATACAGTATCGTTTCAGCTATTCCACCAGGGTATTGGCGGACAACTATTTGAGCATTGACACTCATCTTAGATCTGTTCCTTCACCTATTGAATTTTCTGCTTTTGCTGTCAAAAATTAAATCGAATAGCTTTTCTAGGTTGACTTTTGCAGCTCCTTTATGTAACGATTCATGCTGTAACAAAATAAAGCAACGATAAATGTTTAAGTCATCTATAGACGTAAAGCACTTGGCAGTGAAAGGTAAAGGAGTCGTAAATAGAGCCCTATGAGCCACCAGAACAGAGGCGATGAGGGGGGATACGGTTTTCTGATGTTCAGCAAAGATATCAAAGTAATCCTTCGTTTGTATTGTTTTTCCTTCAGGACAATCTATCTTTCCTTAGATGTTTTAAAAACGTATTCACTTACAAGAAAGCGGACTTTGATCGAGCTTTCACGCATCCTGAATCTGTTCTAGTTGCTTGTGCTGCGTGTGGGTCGTTCGCTATGCGTACACGGATATAGAAAAGAAAAGCATCTCTTTTCTACATCACGATACGCAACGAGACTTTTCACTTCTGATTATTGTGGCTGCTTGCGTCACCTACAAAATTGTTAAAGAGTGTGAAGCTTATTGCTGCTTGCCTGTTCGCTGTTGAACGCCTCTGTTACCTCTTAAATCTCCTTAATAACATTAACTACTATTACCGCTGCTAATTGTTGTTGGTATCTGTTGTAATGTGCGCGCGTGTTTGAATTGCAAATCAGCCGCGAGAAGAAAGATGGCGGCTTGGGCTGCTCTCGACCCCCTTCATCGATCGACGGCATCCCTACCGTATAGCATCGAGTACCACCATGTCGGTCACCCGCTGGCTACCGCGCATAGCCAGAGTACAACGTTCCACAAGTTCAACTCTAGCACGCTTGGATCTTCATCCGCGAACAGTTCACAAAGAAGAGTAAGTCATTTCTTCAAGAATCGTGCCATCAGGCCCAACTGAGAAAAACTCACTTAAATCACTTAAAAAGATGTTGTACCTGCACGATTAAAAAGGGGGCAGCTGTGATCGTCAAATCAAAACTACAAATCGAACCAGTGGCACGTCAGTTCTAAACAGATTAACCGGTTTGCAATAAACAGAGAAGCATGACTATGATTCTGATGAGCACTGTATGAGGTAGCGTTGACGGTAGCGCCAGGAATTTTGGTGAGCCTAGTAAAACGTGTCACCTAGGCAAAATGAACGTGTTACAAACAATCACGAATCGTTCTTTCTCTTTTGATTCTGCTTTGCGTTGTGCTGTGTGTCTCAGAAGAGGCGCAGCATACGCTCAAACCGCTCCGGCGGGGGTGGCCATCGTGCGTCGTATCAGAATCCAGTAACACGCCTTATCGATCGATACGTGGACACCTCCTCACAGGATTCATACAACCATTTGGCAGAGTACCTCAAAACAACATCTCCAGCAATCGAAAACTCACATGGACAGTCGTCTGGGTCTATTCCGTTGAGCGTTGGCACCTCCAACGGCGTACACGGCCCAAATATTCAAGGGATTTCTTATCACGGGGGCCAAGTTAATCAGGCTTACGAAAATAGGTTTGTTATAGATAATATAATATGTGTATTTGTGAAAATCGTAGTAGCTCGACAATTCGACTATGACCTAGACAAATAGAATTTAAAACATTGGGGTCGACTTTCGATCCTATTACAATTTCAAATAGAACTGGAATGCCCAAATCAAATTTTCCAACTTATTAGAATATTTTAGCGTACTTAATTAGCAGGGGGCCCAACCATTCGAAAAGTTTCTTTCTCGGGGCTCAGATTGATTCGGAGATGTTCGGACAGTTACGCAACCCTCTACGATAGTTAGCAATTTCGAGCTAAAATGTCTGCGCAATATCTTCTCCTTAGCCTTCGCAAATGAAAAAAAATATATATGTATGTATACACTTGTTATATATATAATACCGCGTGTAACAAAATAATAAAGGATGAGAAATCGTCTACAGAAATTATTTTAAGGGAAACCAAAATTTAGAGAGAAATTATAAAGGTCTGGAAGGAGTCTGGATGAGGTCTACAATCCTCCAAGCTAATTCTGTACGTATTTACAAATGAAAGAAGAAACATTAAACAGAAAGTTACCTTCCCACCAGTTTTTGATTTCCCTAATGTTCCTGCTTGTCTCTGCGTAACTTTCCGAACATCTTGCGTCTGTATTTGTGGGAAATGTGTATAAGTTTGCTATCTTTGTCCATCATATGCATGCGTTGATGTTCTCTACGATGTCATTCATTGCACAAGCTGTGATACTTTATTTGTAGCTGGCCTTATACATGCTTCTGCATATTCCCCTATAGCCAATGGCAGTTATATGTTGCATTTCTGAATAATTTGCTAATGTACAGCAGGTTCACATTGTAAAGCAAACTAGAAATTCAAAATCATTTCCTAGTTACTTTCATCTTATTCACTAACCTTTATCACTTTTCGTCTTTCGAAATCGACTGACATTCTCAGGTACAGCATTGCGTCCAGTGGCACCTACGGCGTTGTGGACGCCGGCCCCAGCCCCCCCTACACCCCATCATACAACCCTCATCATGTTCAGTCTCCTCACGCACAAACAGTGTCAACCAACAGCTCCAGCAACAACATCAACACCAACAGTCAAGGCATTACTAACCACAACAAGAACACATCATCACCAGCGGCTGGTCAACAACAGCATCATTATCACGGAGAAGTCGCAACGTTGGGTAGCCATCTTCAGCACCTGAATCTATCGCACCCTCCGGCCAGAAACGTTGAAACCAACATGTGAATATTATTTTTACTATTACTGAATGCATATTGGAGTGGGTTGATGACGGCGTTTGTACACAGACTAGTGTTAATAACCCAGTGGTATACTAAATGAAGTGATCCTTTTTATTCTAATGCTTTTGCCATTTTGATTCTGTGCGTAATGCGAAAACAAACGAATCGGTAAGGTCTCTCGAAGGAAAATAGACACACGTATTTTCCGTGTAGTAGACAATACCTATACGAATGAACGGAGGTAATTAGGCTTTAACTTGTCGCCGGCCTCCAGGCTACCGTTTAATAACCGACAAACAAAGCAATAAGTCTTCGAAATGCCCTAAGGCCTACTATAACGACGAGTGATGGTAGTTCCGCTATGTTCAACGCCTAAAGTAATAATCTAGTTAGATTGGTCTGTACCCATTACTACTACGTTGAGAAAACCCTTAATTTATATTCTTGTTGGAAAGGCAGAGCCTTTAATGAACCTGATCTCCCTTGTGTCCGTATTAAAGTCATCTGTTGGTTATATTCAATTGTGTGCATATTTAGTATTACTAATTTTCAGCGTATATTATATGCAATCATTATCATTGCGTGAAGCATAGTGAGTAGGATGGTCGCGTCACCCCCGGATGTGTCCAGAGAACTGTGAGGTCCCCCAAGGCGCCTGGCTAATTGCCACGGTGAACGAGTGGTGATTATTCGTACGATAGCTGCGTACCTTCTACTGTTTCTAGACAGGTTTATACAGATGTTCTGAAAATACGGCCAACGACATCGTACCCATTTTTAGGAAAAGAAGTATGTGTATTCGCGTACCGTAAAAGGTTCTAAGCACGATTTTATCTTTGGAACTACTCAGATTCGGGGTGCCTCTTACGGCTCCGTTCAGACAGTTCTAATACTCACATAGCAATAACGGCAATCAAAATAATTATTTTAAAAATAGTTACTATTTGCTGTTTGGGTGATTTCATTATATTTGACAAGCGTCGCATCGTCTCATGAACATACCCGTTCACTTTAGGCCTTTTCCAAAAATGGAAAATTATTTCAAGCTGTTCATCTTGATTTGGGTCGACACGCTCGAGCATAGGGTATAGTCATGCTTCAAATGTATATGCATATTCACAATATGTAAATTTATAGCTAATTGATATAGTACTTACATTCAACTTATAGATGGGCGTACTTATTGACCCGGTCTTCGTGATGATGCTTAGACCAGACTTACGAAAAAACGCGGATTAGCTCTTAGCCATGGGCATCTTCATGATCGTCTGCCCGCTAATTGCCGTACATTGTCCAACTGGTGACAAAACTATATAGCATAACGGCATTGGGCTGAGATGCGAAATGATTCTATGAGATCGTGCACGCGCGAAATGAGGTAAACGTTTTCTTTACCCTTTTAGAGTCGACTCATTTAGGAACGTCTTAAAATAAAACCCGTCCGCGTATTAATGATACGCAATAGACCGTTTTGTTCGATCGCGCTGAAAGTCAAGATGTTTATCAAATCGATAGATTTTTTAAGTACATTTTAGATAAGAACACCTTTGTCTCCAAAGTCAGTGAAACCTGTCAGATAATACTTACCGTTCGTACATTCAGCGGTAGACGCCGTTGCTTCGCTCAGACTCTCAACGCCGGTAACTAAATACCTCATTGTAATGTTGCTACGAATTCCAGTTTTAACTATATTAAAATAAGACATTCATACGGTACTGTGGGTCTTCATCGAAATATCGAGCCTCCTTGTTATTAATGGATTAGTTAAACCGTAACCGATTTTTGTCTCGGGCTGATAGGGAACTAGTTAGTGAAGGAAATTTTGTTTATCCTCATTTTGTTGTTGTTGTTGTTGTTGTTGTTGTTATCACCAACATTGAGCGCACTTCATGAGTCGGCGACAAACTAACAAGCTACACAGTAAAAAAAACATCGACCTTAGAATCGAACGCTGCCATAGTCCTGCGTCTCAATGACGATATTATTATTATAATCAAATAATCATGGATGATGCGCCGACTTGTTAAATAGGTGAAGACACAACGCTGTAGGCAACAAGAGATGGCGCAACTGCAGGGAAAGTGTGTCCTTTAAGCCACTAGTAAAAGCAAGCATTCTCGTTATCGAGATCAGATCGAAGAGCATTTCGGTCTCGAGCTAACTGTTAGCTAATATACAGTAACTAACACGCGACATTGACAAGATGTCCTCAAGCCGGCACAAACGTGGCAAACGCGTTGTCCTTTAAATAACTGTCGCAATAAAAACAGGTCATATAATTAATTGTCTAGAGCACGAGCCGACGCAGATCGCAATGCTAGGTGGGACTGCAAACGATTGTAGGGGAGACGAAGATAACGAAAATGCATGCATCTATATATATATATATATATAAATGTGTAACTACGGTAATGCGGCAGGAGGTAAAAGTTGCAATAAGCTTCATACTAATTCGGGAAAATAATGATGGCACTCACTTGAAGTAGAAACAGAAGATTATGTTAGTGAAGTGATAAACGATGTAATCTATTATAGACAAACGAGAGAACGTGAGATGTGTCACTGCCGGAAATCTTACAACGGTTGGGTGAGCGAGAGTCGAAATCAATCTTGCACTCATCATGGAGCTTTGGTTCGCTCTGCTGATATTTCTATTATCAAATCAGTATCTTATCGATTGAACCTTGTCCTATACAGATAGCTTCTGTATAGTAACGTATAACGCCATACTGAATCGTCTGGAATGAAAAAGCTAGTCTATTGTACTATCAGTAGGAAAAAGTCGCAGCTTAATTCTGCTCACCCTCCGCGTTACTGTATATAGTACATAATCTCTGCTCAAATGAATAACGACAGTAAAATATTAAATACAAAAATAATAACATTAATGATATCGATAGAAGCGTCTCCTATGGAGCAGCTATAGCGGTCAGCTGTTCTAAGAAGCTGTAACGAAAAAAAAATGACAGTTTTCGACAAAATTTCAAGCAAAGCGTACATAATTCTTATGATCTCATTTAAGTTTAATCACTACATCTTTCGCTAATAAAAGCCCGGTTGAAAACTGTTAATTGACGGCCTAGATATTTCTCAATAACCCAAATGTTGCGTCCTGAGCACCTAGAAACGATTTCGAACGTTTGCCCTTCTACGGTAATTGATCAACTTAATTAGCGACAGAACTAAGCTAGTGATTGATAACTGGTCGAAACAGCATATGTTGTATATAGCCGAGTATATTTTAGGGTGTTTCCGCTTTATTGAAAATTCTTAAATGTTATTTCAGACGCACGCTTATACTTGTGTTTCCGACAACAACAACAATCGTTGGAAGTTTCTCCGTTTCGCTTCATGTTTATACGTATTATTTTAGCCCTAGTGATAAGTAGCGTATGTGTTTTACAGTTTATTCCCCATTGCTCCTAAAATTCCCTCCTCTATAATGAGGTACAGCGAACCTGGAGAATATTAGTTGATGGTAATCAATTATATTGGTTATAATCCATCTAAATAATAGTGCAGAAGTAGATCAAGATGAATGAACGATAAGCTGTACGTATTTCAAAATGCGCGCCATAAATACTGATAGAAGATGGCGAGGTTTTGGTAGACGCAGTAATTAGAAACGCATTAAATAGCATATATATGATCTTGAATTTAAACAAGAAATTATCACGTAAAATTGTATACGATGAAGTCAGCATGCGCAAGTGTTACAAACGCTCGATTTGTTGCAGTATGCTTTTGTCAGATAGAGTCTAAAACCTAAACGCTTGTTGCCTAAATGCATACTTACATTAAGAAATCCAAATAATAACAAATATTATATGATAAAGAAGAATTCAGACAGATAGAAAAAAAAATCCAAGTAAATTGATCACGGTCTTAGCGAAACAGCGATGACAAGATTATTACTAAAAACATTAAAACTAGTACTAAACGTAAAGAATAGAGAGAGATATTCGTTGCAAAAAATGGGAAATTGGAAAAAATGGGAAAAACTCATATATAGTGAAAACCAAGGGTGGAGAGTTGCAAACAAGCTGGTTATATATATATATATATATATCTAGAATCTATCAGATCGTTAAGCCAGAGACAAACTGACAAACAACAATCCAAACGAAAGATGAAAGTTATACAAAAGTGCTTTTACATTTGTCATTATTACTAAATAAAGAACAATAAATAATAATTAGTATAATTATTATCGCTACAAACGACAATTGTCAACTACTGAATAAGCAATCATTTTTTAATAAGAATATGCATGGTTACATGAAAATGTATCAAAGTGACATAAAATTTAAATTTCCTAGCTTTTATAACATCGTTCTGGTATTCATTCAAGTCAATTGTTTGTTTTTATCTTATTATTATTACAAAACTTATCAATAATTAAAGCAAATGTCCACATCTCTGAGGTGAAAGGCAGGATGCGATCGTATGGTCTAACCAAACGCTGTTACTTTCTCGCTGTTTTTTTTTTCGATCTGCATATATAATTTGAACTGAAACGTAAAATTTAAACTGCCCTACACGATTACTGCTATTATATTATTACATATAACCATTATGTGACAATTACAATGGCGATTTTTAGTTTTAAAAACGTGAGTAAAAATGTTTACTTCTCCAAATATCGATGATGATGGAGCAGTTTGACACGTCTGTAGTTTAGATGTCTACATAGTGTTCCCGTATTACTCATCCTACCATCAAACGTTTCCTTCTTCTTATTCGCTGTACTTTGCATCCTGGTTATTTGTGATATTTGAAGTCATTATAAATCTACCAGAGAACTTCATTAAGAACTCTGCAAACCGTTTAAGCAGCCTACGCTTACAATTAACTCTTATAGATTCCCATAATCAGTGCAAAACTTGCAACCTGGTCAAAACACCTTGTACTGAGGGTGTAAGTGAGCACGACGTCTATTGACTGGTAGAATAAACCCCATAATTTTGCCGTCATCTAGAAGCATATTATAAACATTTAATCTCGGCATATCCTTATTAAAAGTTTGCAGCCATGGAATAATTTTAAATTAGAAAGAAGGCTTAATAAGCGATTCCCATTAAAATCGAAGACTTAAAACGTTCTCCAAATGATTTCCTTGGCCGTAGGGTTCTTCGTAAAAAAAAATTCAGAAATCAGCTTTTTAACTGTCGTCCTAAAAAAAAGTTCATCTAAATTGAAAAATCCCTTAAATCGTGTGCCTGAATGCATTATTCTTCTAGAACAACAGAAAAATATTGCTTACTCATCCTGTCAGGGCCTTGTTAAGAAACCTACTTCTCACCGTAAGGCAAGTTGTGCTGTTAAGAAGATTGGAAGACTCCTCTTCCACTCTCCTGGTCGCCCGCCCGCTCACTCCTTGCTCATCACGAAATGTCGTGAAGAATGCATTCATCCAGCGCGTTCGCCACACCCACGTCCCCCCACATTCAACAGTCATGCGTTCATTCGGTAGCGGCGGCGGCGGCGGCCGCGGCGCCGCGGCCGCCGCCTTCACTTGTGGAGTGGCTACAGCCATAACATAATGACAAGCAGCAACAACAGCAAAAGTGGTGGCGATATAAAGACAAAGCCTTCCCCAGCATCGGCGACGGGTGCGACAGCAAGCGCAGTACTCAAGAAAACCAAGCGGTACAGCTAGTGAGAGAGGAGGAAAAACTTTTTGTTAACAACAGCAGCAGCGGCGGCGGCGGCGGCGGCGCCAGTCACAGGGGCAGCGCTGCCAACCGGCATTGTCACCAAGACAAAACAGCAAAGACGACCGCGAGCTGCGCCGGCCGAAAAACCAGCGGACAAAGCAAAACGAGCTGCACAGCAATAGGAAAATTGGCCGGCACGCATTGACCACAGCATCAGCACACACAAACCAATCAGACAGCCGAAGCAGCACCGTATCACTTGTTGCTGCTTGTTGTCGTCGTCACGATCGGTGCCACTGCTGTGGCCGCTTCGTCCTACGCCACTGTCGCCCTCTCGCCAGGTAAAATTCTTTGGGGAGGTGCTTAAAGCCGCTCCAACCATTATTTCAGTTCCAACATTGCCACTGTGACTACAACAACAACGACAACGACAATTGATTCGTGTAGTAGGGAGTGCTACAACCGTTTGTGCCTATGTTGCTGTCGTTGTTGTTACAACACCACTGGGCGATGCTGCTACATCTGCCCAACAATAAAGCACAGCATCGTTTCGAGAGACCGGCCCAAGCCAGAGTGTAGACTCCAAAAGTCCTAGCGAAATTTTTCGCCTCCTCTACTGGAATACGGTGTCTCCAAGTTGGAATTGTGTTTGTTTTGAGTTGATGCAAAGGAACAATAATTAAGCTTCGCTTAGGTTGGGCTGCCGCTTGCCGCTGTCCGTCGATCAGACCACAGCTCTGGCACTGAATCTAATTCTAACTTGCGTCTCTCACTCTGGCGCTGCCCCGCTCTTCCTCGTTCAGGTCAAAAATAAGCAGTTGATAATAACACCGTTTGTATTGTGTAACCATCCATAAGCCGCTGTGTGAGACCTGCCTTATCACTGATGTTACAACTGTGAATACATATACACAAGGAGAAGCTAGAGAAAACGCGATCAGCAGTGTTGTTAGTGTTCTGGGATTCCAATTTGATACAGCTATTAGCCCGCTCTGCCGTACACCGTTCAGTCGACAGATCCTTTCTTTGACGGTCGTCATTTAGTGGAGTTCGAGGCTAAGGCGGCGCATATATTCACAGCTAACTTACGATCCTGAAAACTTTCGGAATTCACCTAGAAACAAGCGGCAAGCGTAATTCTGCGAAAGTGATTTGTGGCGGCCTGGCCGTATGACAGCCTAACAAATATCGACACTTGAGGACCTGCAGTCGTAGCCAACCGAGTGCAGTAAAACAACAGAAAGAGAAGAACGACACAGGGAAATCTCGCCAGCAGTCGTGCGTCAGCTAACGGACTTAGCAAGCAACCGTGATCGACAAGGTCCGCCTAGAGGGCTTCGCGGAACCCATCTGGGTACGTTCTAAATATGTCCACAACAGACTCAAGATCTTATTTCATGCGAGGCTAGGCTAGCTAGATGTAGTTCGAAAGCAGTAACATATTTCCTACCTGTATTTGCTTACAATATAGAAACGGAGTACGGCTTGAACGTGAGTGTGTTCAATACGACAAGTACCTAGCTGTGCATATATACACATACTGTATCACAAAGTTCATTTGTCAGGTTCTGCATTTTATCCTACCATCACTCGTAAGTTTTTTGATCGATTGATTTGTTGTCTGACGAGTGAATGATATTTGTGGCGGATACGTCTTTCCCTTTTACTTTTCATTTATATTGTCAATTTTTCATTCACACATTACTAGTGGTACTGCGGCTCTGGCTGGTAGCAAGCGGAGCGTTCCATTCCATTTTCGTGTAGTTCGAGTCGGTGCGTGCGTTTGTCTGTTATTGGCCGGCCTGATAATTCTCCGAGTTGCCAATAAGTCTAGTGTTGTTAATCTAACAGAGCACCTCTTTTTCACGGAGCGTTTAGCGTTTCGCGAGTGTACAGCCGCCGGCTAGTATCTACAAAGTGTTTATGCTATTAAAACCAACATAGTAAATAAATAATTATACAAAAAATAAGACCGTAAAAAAGCTCGTACATCGGATAAATGCGGCAATGGTTTCCCTTTTGCATGCGCGACATTCGAAACGGCCAGCTTCTTCGTTGAAATGGACAAATCGAAAACGATAGTCCAACTTCGCCATGTAGGGAAACTGAAAGCAGCTATAGTTTTACGTCATTAGTAGCATAGAACGAAAGTTATTTGGAGCTATAGTAGGTTCCGCGTTATCGCATCTCTGCTGCTGTGACTATTAATTATGAGTAGTGGCTTTTGTCGTCATCATCGTGAGTAATGACGCGGCCACCTTTCGCTTGTGGCTGGTCCTGCGCTGAGTCCTATTCTTGCCGTTTGTTTAGATACAGTCGAGCAGCGGAAGCTAGCGCGCTCTTTTGACGGGCCATCCTGATAATGTGACAGTTCCACATTTTAGCTTCGCACGGATACACACGTGTCCATACATACACAGATATACATGCAACGTCCAACGTCATTGTCGTCGATTTTGCCGGGGCACCGAGCAGCGGCCTGTGATTTGTTCCTAGCGAGTGCGACGGACGGCCGCTTCAAACTACAGCGCAGTGATTTACTATTTGAAATTTAATGCAAGTCGTATTCCAGTTCGTTCCTGGAAATTTACAGCTCAATTTACACTTGACTGTAACAGAAGAAGCGTGAAAAAAGTGGGCAGTCTGGATTAGTTGTTAAGCTTTTCTTCATTCAATAGCAGAAGTAGGATTACTGGTACATTTTTCAATGTACGTTTATGCTTTCCTTAATATACTAGCCGTTCTATTAATGCGGATTCTTGGCGGCTGGTCAACGCTCTCAAATAGAGCAATAATTACATTGAGAAAGCCGCGACTACAAAACCGCTCTAGTCGCACGTCTATTACAAGCACAACAGAATTCATGATTAAAATTCACCCTTCTTTATTGATCGCCATTGCAAAACATGCGTTTTTTCTCTCTAACCTGCATAGTTATTATTGTTTCTATGTTCAATCTTAATATCTCGAAGATGTTACCTGTTTTTCCCTCTTTTCACCCCATAGAGCCAAATCACCATTCACCATATCGGTCGCTAGTTGTATTGCTTGTACTTAAAAGTTTCAATATATACCGCCATTCTTATAGCTGCCACCAGCAGTGCCACGCCAATGATAGCACCAGCTCTACGGAAAAGAAGACCTTGATTAGTACCACCAGCAGAACAACGCTGCGTCGCCCAACAAAAATGGGGTAGACAGCAGTGATAGCGTCCATCATCGCTTGGTTAACCAGTAGACAAACCAGCACAAGTAGCTGCAGCGTATCTGCCTGTAGAAGCTAGAGCCGCGAGATACGAAATGGACGGTGGCCACTGTCTGACGGACTGTGCGCTTTTTTTTTTTAACAGAGGAGTCGAGACGCGCTGTTTCTGTTGCTGGTGCCGTCGAAATAATGACATGGCATCAGTAGCGTGTAGTTGTGTTGACGCCTTTTATGGGTCACCATCGGCTGCAGCAGCAATAGTTCGCGCCCATCGGCCCGTGCCTGCCGAATCTATGTTGAAACTATTCATCCGTGGTAACAGTGGGTGTGACACAATTTGGTTTGGGTATGCGTCGTAGACCAATTCAGCCTCTGTGATCTCCTTCTGCTGTGGCAGCGGCCGACGATGGGTAGTTCGTGGGTATATCTGTGCGTTTGAC